GGAGTCTCGCTCTGTCGCCCACGCTGGAGTGCAGTGGCCAGGGAATCTCAGCTCACGCAAGCTCCGCGCCTCCCGGGGTTCCACGCCATCTCCTGCCCTCAGCCCTCCGCAGACGAGCTGGGATACAGGCCGCCACCCGCCCGACTGATCGCCGCGGCCCCTAGGTTTGTTGTATATTGTAAGTTAGAGACGGGGTTTCACCGTGTTAGCCAGGATGGTCTCGATCTCCTGACCTCGTGATCCCCCTGTCTCGGCCTCCCAAAGTGCTGGGATTACAGGCTTGAGCCACCGCGCCCGGCCAGTAATTACTTTTAATGTAAAAGATATTTCATGTAACAGTAGAGATAAGTGGCTATTTTATTATTAGATAAAACAGATTTAAAGTCAAAAAGCTAACAAGAGACTACAAGGACTATACTGATAAAAGGTCAATCTAGCAAGAAAATGTGACTGTAATAAATATATACAAAACAAACAAGAAAGTCCCCAAATCTATGAAGCAAAAAATCAACACAATTGAAGGGAGAAATAGAGTGCCTTAATAAGAACTGGAGACATCAATAACCCATTTTCTTTTTTCTGTTTAATTTTTTAAAAAGAGACAGAGTCTCACTATGCTGCCAGGCTGGTCTCAAATTCCCAGGCCCAAGCAATTCTCCCGCTCCGGCCTCCCAAAATTGCTGGGATTACAGGTGTGAGCCACCATGCCTGGCCAAGAATAAAATGTTTAGAAATAAATTTAACCAAGGAAGACAAAGACCCATACCTAGAAAACTACAGAACAGTGCTGGAAAAATAAATAAGATAAAATAAAATAAAATAAAATAAAAATAAAAAATTTAAAGGCCTAAATAAATGCGAAGACATCCTGTGCTAACAGATTAGAAGACTTAATACTGGTAAGATAGTATCACCCAAGGCAATATACAGATTCAATGCCATTCCTATCAAAGAACAATGGAATTTTTTAGAAATATAGATAAATGCAACCTAAAATTCACAGGAAATATCAAAAGCCAAAACAATCTTGAAAAAGAACAGAAATCAGCCTTTCCAACTCTGAAACTTATTATAAAGTTACAGTAATGACAGAGTTACATGGTATAAGGCCAGACATACAAATTAAATAGGATTGAGAGCCCAGAAGTAAGCACTTGCATATACGGTCAGTTGATATTTGACAAGGGTGCCAAAACCAATCTTTGGGGAAAGAACAGTCTCTTCAACAAATGGTACTGGAAAAATTGGATATTCACAAACAAAATAATGAATCTGAATGTTTACCTTATACCACCTGCAGCAATGAATTTACAATGGATCAAAGATCTTAACTAAAGAGCTAAAACTATAAGTCATGGAAGGAACTGCAGTAAAATTTTCTTTTTTTTAAGACAGAGTTTTGCTGTTATTGTCCAGGCTGGAGTGCAATGGTGCGACCTTGGCTCACTGCAACCTCCGCCTCCCAGGTTCAAGCGATTCTCCTGCCTCAGCCTCCCGAGTAGCTGGGATTACAGGTGCTCGCCACAACACACAGCTAATTTCTTATATTTTTAGTAGAGACAGGGTTTCACCATGTTGGTCAGACTGGTCTCGAACTCCTGACCTCAGGTGATCCACCCGCCTTGGTCTTCCAAAATGCTGGGATTACAGGCGTGAGCCACTGTGCCTGGCCAAAAACACAGTAAAAAATGTTTATAAACTTGGATTTGGCTCCTTAATTACGATAACAAAAGTACTGTATAGGCAACAAAAGAAAAAATACACTGGGCTTCATTAAAGTGAAAACTTTCGTGCATCAAAGGATACTATCAAGAATGTAAATGATATACCCGATAAGAGATAAATACCCAAATACAAAAAGAACTCTTACAACTCAATAACAAAAAGATAACCCAATTAATATAAAAGGGCAAAGTCACTGGACATTTCTCCACTTAACTGTATGATTAAAAGTGGTTAAAAACGGCAAATTTTGCTATATATATTTAACACAATTAACAAAAAAATTGTTTCTGACACAATAACTTACTAGTTTCCATAAAGTTATGTAACTACATTTTGAAAACCTTAAACAAACAAAAAAAACCAGACCGGGTTTCCTGTCACCCAGGATAGAATGTAGTAGCTGGATCAGAGCTCACTGCAGCCTTCCACTCCTGGGCTCGAGCAATCCTTCCACCTCAGCCTTCCAAGTAGCTGGGAATACGGGTGAGAGTCACCACACCCGCCATGAAAAACATTATTTGGAACTTCAAATTACATGGTAATTTAAAAATTATGTTTAAAGATACACAAAAATGGAAATGATTTCAGCAAGATGGTAGAACATCTAGAAAATATTTAAGACAAGAATACCATCTTTAATGCACCAGAAGCAGGAGAAGAACTGAGTGATGCCACCACTGGTAAGAGAAACAGTTCAATTTCAGACTGCACCACCCTGATCTCCTAAACTGTCAGAACACTACTTGCACACAATTTCCCTAGAAATTCTGAGATGAGAGGAGGGAACTGGAGGTGGAACTCTGAGCTCTCCACAAGTCTAGGAAGCCCACTCCAGTCCTGTCCCATGAGAACCACTGGGAGTGCTAGATGGGCAGAACCACCTGGGATGAACTGGGGACAAAGAGCAGGGCACTGATTGTGCTTGAACTTTCGTGACTACTCAGTGCTCCAGTCAGTGGGGACACCATGTTGAAGCTACTATGGAGAACAGTATGATGGTTTCCCAGTCTGGGTGTGGTGGCTCATGCCTGTAATCCCAGAAGTTTGGGAGGCCAAGGTGGGAGGACTGCTTGAGCCCAGGAGTTCAAGACCTGCCTGGGCAACATAACAAGATCCTATCTCTATAAAGAGAGAGAGAGAGAAAAAAAAGGTTTCTCAAAAAAAAAAACAAACCAAAAAAAACCAAAAACAGATCTGCCATATCATCCAGCAATCCCACTGCTGGATATATATCCAAAATAAAGGCATTCAGTATATCTTGGCCGGGCACGGTGGCTCATGCCTGTAATCCCAGCACTTTGGGAGGCCCAGGTGGGTGGATCACTTGAGGCCAGTAGTTGGAGACCACCCTGGGCAATATGGTGAAAACCGGTCTCTACTAAAAATACAAAAATTAGCTGGTCGTGGTGGTACACGTCTGTAGTACTAACTCCTTGGGAGGCTGAGGCATGAGAATAGCTTGAAGTGGGGGAGGCAGAGGTTACAGTGAGTTAAATTAATGCCACTGCACTCCAGCCTGGGCAACAGAGTGACACTTGTCTCAAAAAAAAAAAAAAAAAAAAGAAAGGAAATTAGTACATCTAAGAGACAGATGCATTTCTATATTTACTGTAGCACTATTCACAACAGCCAAGATATGGAATCAACCTAAGTGTCCCTCAACAGATAAATTAATTAGGAAAATGTAGGATATATACACACACAATGAAAAACTATTCATCCATAAAAAAGAATGAAATTCTGTCATTTTCAGCAACATGAACAGAGCTTGAAGTCATTATGCTCAGTGAAATAAGCCAAGCAGAGACAAATATCACATGGTCTCGCTCATATGTGAGCACTAAAAGAGTGAAGGCACTTTTTCTGTGAGCACTAAAAGAGTGAAGATCCTAGCACTTCGGGAAGCTGAGGCAGGAGGGTCACGTGAGTCCAGGAATTTGAGACCAGCCTGGGCAACACAGTGAGACCCCATCTCTACAAAAAACATAAAAATTAGCTGGTCATGGTGGCACATGTAGTCCCAGCTACTCGGGAAGCTGAGGTGGAAGACTATTTTAGCCCAGGAGGTCAGGGTACAATAGGCCCTGATCACACCACTGCACTTCAGCCTGGGGGTAGAATAAGAACTTGTCTCATTAAAAACATAAAATAAAATAAAAATGAAGATCTTATACAGGCAGAGAGTAGAAGGGTGGTTACCAGAGGCTGTCAAGTGTAGAAGGAAAGGGGAATAAAGAGAGACTGGGTGCCAGGTGCAGTGGCTCATGTCTGTAATTCCAGCACTTGGGGAGGCTGAGGCAGGCGGATCATGAGGTCAGGAGACCAGCCTGGCCAACATGGTAAAACTCCATCTCTAACAAAAATACAAAAAAAGAATTAGCCAGGAGTCGTGGCAAGCACCTGCAGTCCCAGCTACTCAGGAGTCTGAGATGGGAGAATCACTTGAACCAGGGAGGCAGATGTTGCAGTGAGCCAAAATCGTGCCACTGCACTCCAGCCTGTGTGACAGAGCAAGACTCTATCTCGGGGGGAAAAAAAAAGAGACTAGTTAATGGGTACAAAAATACACTTAGACACAAGGAATAAGTTCTGACATTTGATACCACGGTAGGGTGACTATAGTTAACAATAACTTATTTGTATTTTAACAATTTTATTGTTACTATTATTTTTTAGAGACAGGGTCTCACTCTATCACCCAGGCTGGGGTGCAGTGGCTTGATCATAGCTCATTGCAGCTCCGATTGCCTGGGATGAAGAGGGGATGGATATCTTAATTATTCTGATTTTCTCATTACACACTATATGCACGTACCAAAATATTATGCATACCTCATAAATGTGTACAATTATTATGTATCCAAAAAAATTTTTAAAGATACTTGAAGCTCTTGCATGCTAGACAGAACAAAGAATAAAAAATATGCTCCACTGTTTTCAGTTCCAACTCCAATTATTTCACACACTTCAGTACTCTTCCCATATTCAAACTCTCTCAAAATAAATAGTAAAAATCAAATATAATATCTAAGATAACCAAACTAACCTATTTCAAAGACTTGGATAGCTTGACTAGCTGCAAACAAACAGAAAATGAACAACCAAAACCTGGCAGATGGGAAAATTTTTGAAAGATGAAACTGGCAATTTATAATAAATGAATAAAACCATAAGGAGATTTTAATTCTAATGGAAATATAAACATAACAATACATAATTTACCATTTATTGAAAACTAAACATAATTTATAGAGTTCTCGAAAAACAAGACTTACTCTTTGATATCACGAAGCTGATCAACATCTTGTGATCTTGTGAAATCTGGATCATGGGCCAGAAGGTGAATCATGTATGGAACTACATATTCAGGCAACAGTGATAATAATTTCTCTGAAGTAAAAACATTATTAAAAACAATCTTTATAAAATGTCTTAGTGGACTGAGTTCTAACCACTTAAGTTTCCATTTTTTTCCCTCAGTTATTTCTAAATTAGACGCAACATGATACCTGGATACTAAAATACTTTGCACTTCACTTTTCAATTTCTTTTTCTGGTACCTGGTATGGAGTTATATTTCACTTTTGAAAGATATTAAAGTCAAAGGTATCAGATAGTAAACCCATTAAACAACAGGTCCCTGGCAAAGCTAGGAAAAAATTATTTAGTCTGACATCCGAGCAGTATGTTCAAATTAAACCACACTCCTGATCCTGTAGGAAAAATGCAGTTTGCCAGGAGTTAATGCAGCATAAACAGGACTGAGGAGTTCAGTTTTTAAGTACATAATAACTACAATGACAGTATTCTATAAAACTCCCAGTTTTATTATAAACTATAATAGAAACACATGACAAGAAAAAAAACTAAAAATTGATACACTGACAAAATATATTTGCGCACAGAGAACTTTGAGTTACTTACCAGTAGCCATAGGGTTCTGTTTAATGTATTCCCTGCGTATACTGATATTTTTCAGTAAACACTGTCGTGCGTGTGCTCTTCTCTCCTTCACAGGATCTTTGGCACACAAGGCAAAGATCGCCATATACTCCAATGGGAGCAGTAACTTCACAAGTGCCTTATGTAGCTTCTGAGCAAATATCTGCCTTACTTGGTAACATTCATCCTACAGCAGCACAGAAAAACTTAAATTGGCAACCATTTATTAAACAAAAACCCAGCAGTTTAAGTTTTCTTAATGTTTTCTTCAATTAAAAAAAAAATTATATGGGGGAATAAATAATGTAATAATTGGAAGACAGTTAAACAGGTAATAATAGCAGTACCTTTTGTGCATATATTCACATAATAAATGGATTTGTATCCATAGAAAAGTAATGTATTCAACTTTGAAGACAAGTAATTGACAAAAATAAGATTGTTACTTACATTAATAACAAGTGCACAGAGCTGAAACTGTTCTGGGGTAATAATTTCATGGTAACAAGGTTCCTGAGCAAGCTTCATTATGGCACTACCAGCAGCTAATCGCAAGCGAGACATATCAGATTTACTATAAACAAACAAAAAAGAAATAAACATTTCCTATAACCATTATCATTCATAAAAATGCTTTTGTCCCTTTTTGAATGTAGGGTCCTTAGAGGATAATTTATGCTTAAAATGAAGTACAAATATGGGAAAGCTACTTTGAGTTCATGAAGTTAACACAAGGGATTGTGACTTTCATAATCAAATCAAATCATTGTGACTTTCTGATTACAAATTTACCTGCCTTCATTTCTAGTCCAGCTCTAAGTTAGATACTTTACCACATCCCAACAACTCTGCTTATTCTTGCAACCACAGTAATTGCAAGGTTAGGAAAAACTCTTTACATCAGGAGTATCCCTCATTTTAAGAGAAATACATATTGATTGTCAAAAACTTGATTAAAGTGGCTGGGCACGGTGGCTCACACTTGTAATCCCAGCACATTGGGAGGCCGAGGTTGGCAGATCACGAGGTCAAGAGATTGAGACCATCCTGGCCAACATGGTGAAACCCTGTCTCTACTAAAAATACAAAAAAATTAGCTGAGCATGGTGGTGCGCACTTGTACTCCCAGCTACTCGGAAGGCTCAGGAAGGAGAATTGCTTGAACCTGAGAGGCGGAGGTTGGTGAGCCAAGTTCACACCACTGCACTCCACCCTGGCGACAGAGTGAGACTCTGTCTCAAAAAAAAAAAAGAAAGAAAGAAAAAAAGAAAACTTGATTTAAAAAACCACAAAGAATTAAAAAAAAAAATCACCTATCATAATTTAAAATCTATTTCCTGCATATAAACGTGTAACAGGAATCTAGCTTTATGCATGCTGAAATGGCAGGGCTGCAGTTAAGAGGGAAGAAGTATCAGACAAATACCTAAAGGATATGAAATATAAGAGCCAGTGTCTGTCTGAGTTTCTGGGGCTGACCTCCTTTTGCAGAATACAGTTTTCAAATGGAACCTATGAAGCCTTGGCACTCCCATCCCCACAGTATGAATTTTTATTACTTATGTGGTAAAATGTGGCAATGAATGGGATGGCATGGGAGTCTTTCTACTTCGACTTCTATGTGGAACACAGCATGGCTTTTATATTTATTGTGACCACTTCACGAAATGCAGAAAGCTAGCCAGAACCCACTGGGACTGTTGCTAAGCATACAGAGGAAAAAACCTGGCACTCTTGGACAACAGGATTGTTACAATGAGCACTGGTAACAATGAGGGAGCCTCAAATGGTTTCTATGGCATTCATTCAGGAATCAAAATTAATAGCTATTATGTGAGTGCTTACTCCATGCCAGGCAGGTGTGAAAAACACTTTATAGGCTTTATCTCAATTAATTTTCACTCCATAAGATGAGGAAATTGCAGCTTAGAAAAGGTAATACTATATTATATGATATCCAGTTAGGATCTGTCTAATGGGTGTTCATTCCATGGTTAACCATTCCCCTATTTTTTGTGATGGAAAATAATGCTGCAGGAACATGCTTGTGTATATGCTTTCATATGATTCTTTTATACTCATGAATTATGAGTGTAAAAATAAAGAGTCAAGGATAACATTTTCGAGGATCTCGATGCAAAAATGCCGAAGAGTCCTGCCAATTTATACTCATAGGAGTAATGAAGGAACCCATTTCCATGATCATACTGAGGAATTATTGCTTATAAAATTTTTTTTTCTTTTGATTTGTAAGGAAAAGAGGTACTGCTTAAGTTCAAATTGTATTGACTGCATTTAGTGATGTTAAACTTTTAAAAGTAAACTGATAATAGCTAATCTTCCTCTCCACTGGGGGGCCCTTCCTAGGTATCACTAACTTGTAAGAGCTTGTTATTATTATGCCTTTGCCATATACTGTACATAATTACCTCCAATTTAAAGCTTTCATTATCCCTAACGCAGTTCTAAACAGTGTTATAAAAGGTTGCCCTTGGCTTATTCTATGATAAAAATAGGGTGTGGTGGTGCACACCTATAGTCCCACTACTCAGGAGTCTGAGGCAGGAGGATTGCTTGAGCCCAGCTAGCCTGGATAACATAGTGAGATTCTATTCCTAATTATAATAATTTTTAAAAAAATTAATAGCATAGCACTATCACATATCTAGCCAAGGCTGGAGTACAATGACATGATCTTGGCACACTGCAACCTCAACCTCCTGGGTTCAAGCGATTTTCATACCTCAGCCTCCCCAGTAGCTGGGATTATAGGATGTGCCACCACACCTGGCTAAATTTCTATATTTTTAGTAGAGACAGGGTTTCAACATGACCTCAATTAATCCGCCTGACTTGGCCTACCAAACTTCTGGGATTACAGACGTAAGCCACTGTGCTCAGCTCATAAAGGAATGACTAAACCTCTGTCCTCTAAAACAAATTTTTAAACAGGAATGCATCATATGTAGAATACTTTAGTTATCTATGTTGGTAATCTTGGCCCCTACTAAATCAAGAATTTGCAAGAAACCAGGATCATGAAAAATCGAGCTTCTATTTTCATCTTAAAATGAGATGGCAATTTTACAGATTAAAAGTGAAAATGTGTAACAATGTAAACAATCTCTGTGTGCACATACATGTGTACACACCCGAATTCGTACAACAACAAGAAGGCTTAAACTCTCTCGAGTAGCCATTGAAATTTTTATTTATGTATTTATTTTAAGACAGGCTCTCGCTCCAGCCCAGGCTGGAGTGTGGTGGTGCAATCTCAGCTCACTGCAACCTCTGCCTTCTGGTTTCAAGCAATTCTCCTGCCTCAGCCTCCTTAGTAGCTGGGATTACAAGAATGTGCCACCACGCTGGCTAAGTTTTGTATTTTTTTTTTAGTAGAGACGGGGTTTCATTACATTGGCCACGCTGGTCTCGAACTCCTGACCTTGCGATCCGCCCATCTTGGCCTCCCAAAGTGCTGGGATTACAGGCATGGGCCACCGTGCCTGGCTGCCACTGAAATTTTTATTACTTTCATGAGACTTGAGTCACTCCGCTTATTTAATCACTGTAATACAGGGAAGCTCTTTGAAGGCAGGCACTTTTCCTACTTATTTTTGCTGCAATGCTTTTCACACTGTTTTATGGAGCAGAAATTTAACAAATATTTGTTTAATTGAACTAAATGTTGATGCTAACTGTAATAGTACAATACAGTGATTATGATTACATATTTAGGGGAAAAAGTTCCCCTTCTTTAGGAATGAAGAAAAATATATTGGCACTATTAAAATAACAATACTAACAGACAGACAAGCCCTAAATGAGTACATAAGATTTGACCCTGAAGAACATGGTGTAATTACACCATTCAGTATTCATTAGGTAAATAATTCCTATGTAAATTCTACCAAAATTTCAGCACTAATAAAACTGGAAAGAAAGACAAATCTCACCTGATCCTCTTTTGCTCTGTCAGGTCACCCTCACTAACCAACATCGCTGATAATAACCGAAGGGTTGAATTGGCAGATTTAGACTGGTTGTTTTTCATACCCAACAGCCACCTTACCAGAAGTTTAATTGCCTGTACCTATAAAATATTAACATGCTAAAAAAAGAGAGCAACTTAAAATTCCAATTAAAGGGAAAATTAATCTATATTAATTAATGAGATTATTCATCTCCATCAGCAGACATTTCATTAAATAAATCTATGGGATAATAACAGTAACAATAAGAACTAATACTTACTCTGTGCTTAACCAGTGCCAGATACTTTTCTTAGAGCTGTACATGTATTAACTTACTTAATCTCTCAAAAAACTCTTATGAGGAAGATTTTTTTCCCAACAGATAAGGCAATTGAGACACATTATTATGATAGATAACTTGCTCAAAAGTCTGGTTCCAGAATTTAGGCTTTTCATACTTAGACGTTTGTCCAAGATTTTGAAACTATTTGAAAACATATACTTTAAAAACAATTTAAACTATACAGGCTGGGTGTGGTGACTCACGCCTATAATCCCAGCACTTTGGGAGGCCAAGGCAGGTGGATCACTTGAGGTCAGGCATTTGAGACCAGCCTAGCCAACATGTTGAAACACTGTATATACTAAAAAATCCTGTCTATACTTAAAAAAAAAAAAAAAATTAGCCAGGCATGGTGGCACATGCCTGTAGTCTCAGCTACTCAGGAGGCTGAGGCATGAGAATTGCTTGAACCCGGGAGGCAGAGGTTGCAGTGAGCCAAGATTGTGCCACTGCACTCCAGCCTGGGTAACAGAGCACTCTGTTTCATAAAAAAACAAAACAAAACAAAACAAACAAACAAAAAAACTGTACTGATTGTAGTGACTGAAAATAACTTCCGAGTTTCATAGTTTTGTGGTATTGAAAGACTACTTTGAAGAAACCATCAAGTCTGATTCAGTCTCATTTAACATTCTGACCCAAAAAAAAAAGGGAATTGCTATAATTATTGGTAGTCATAATTACTTAGAAATGTCTAGTCAAAAGATTGTTGCCAATATACGTGAAAGAGCCAGCCAAAAAATCAAGGTATTATTTATTTATTGACAGCCTGGAAAAATGAATTGATAGAATATATGATGACTATGAAGCAACACAAAGTGAAACAGATTATCAAGGAAGATGATACAATCTTATTTTAAATCCCAAATCCACCACTTTTAAACTGAGCTTTACATTTATTAAATCCACAAATTTAGTAACAATCATCTATCTGCTCTGTCGCCCAGGCTGGAGTGTACTGGCATGATCGCAACTCACTGTAGCCTTGACCTCCTGGGCTCAAGCGATCCTTCTGCCTCAGCTTCCTCCTTGCGTAGGTGGAACTATAGGCATGCACCACCACACCTGGCCAAATTATTATTATTATTATTTGAGACCGAGTTTCACTGTCGCCCAGGCTGGAGGGCAGTGGCACAACCTTGGCTCACTGCAGCCTCTACCTCCCAGGTTCAAGCGACTGTCCTGCCTCAGCCTCTGAAGTAGCTGGAATTACAGACGTGCAACACCATGCCTGGCTAGTTTTTGTATTTTTAGTAGACAAGGGGTTTCACCATGTTGGCCAGACTGGTCTTGAACTGATCTCAAGCCATCTGCCCGCCTCAGCCTCCCAAAGTGCTGGGATTATAGGCGTGAGCCACCATACCTAGTCCAACTAAATTATTTTTAATATTTTGTAGAGACACGGCTCACTATGCTGCCCAGGTTGGTCTTGAACTGGGCTCAAGCGATCCTCATGCCTCTGCCTCCCAAAGTGCTGGGATTATAGGTGCGAAAAAAAACCAAAGTGTTATTTACTGTATTTATTGACAACCAGGAAAAATGATTTGATAGAATATATGATGACTATGAAGCAACAAAAAGTGAAACAGATTATCAAAGATGATACAATCTTATTTTAAATCCCAAATCTGCCACAGTGACCAGCTTGACAATTATCTATCTTTGCCAAGTTAATATTCATATGCTTGTAGATAGTGGTGGTGAGGCTGGATTTAAGATGCCTCTGAGCACCATCATTCTATAAACAACCTCTCTAAAAAACAGCCTCATTGAGATTGCTTTAGCAGGCAGAAGATACTGACATATAATAAACAATGACAACTACAATGTCTTCAAGAAACACTTTTTGCAAAGAATTTTAAAATAAATTTTAAAATAAAGCACCTCCTTAAGAAAAGCTTGTTGAATAAAAAAGGCTCTCGGCTAGGCACAATGGCTCAAGCTCATGGGGGCTGAAGTGGGAGGATCAGCTGAGCCCAGGAGTTCAAGACCAAACTGAGCAACACAACAAGATCCCATCTCTGTTTATTAAATGTTTAAAAGGTGAGGAAGATAAACAAAAATGTTCCTTTTTTAAACATGAAGATTATCAAGGCCTAAACAAATTTACCTTTGCTAGTACTTCAGGGGAAACCTCTTCATCTGGAGACCACAGTTTTCCATTCTTTTCACCTGTTGACTATAGACAATTGAATAAATTTAGCTATTAGCATGAAGAAAAAAATTTAACTTTTTGCTGATTAAGTTTTTCATGTTGATCAACACAGCCTCTGAGAAACCGATGGGAACATCACCAACCAGAGCTTGTAAAAGGACAAAGTTAGAAGACTTATACTTCCCAGTTTTGAAACTTACTATAAAACCTACAGTAATCAAAACAGTGTGGCTGGTACTGGCAAGGACAGACATACAGACCAATGGAATAAAGAACCCAGAAAACCCTTGCATATATAGTAATTCATTTTTGACAAGGGTGCCAAGACCACCTTTAGGGAAAGAACAGTCTCTTCAACAAATGGTGCTAGAAAAACTGGATATTCAGCCAGGTGCAGAGGGTCAGTGCCTGTAATCCCAGCACTATGGGGGGCTGAGGCAGGTGGATCACTTGAGGTCAGGAGTTTGAGACCAGCCTGCCCAACATGGCAAAACCCCGCCTCCACTAAAAATACAAAAAATTAGCTGGGCATGGTGGTGCATGCCTGTAGTCTCAGCTATCCAGGAGGCTGAGGTTGAGAACTGCTTGAACCTAAGAGACAGGTTGCAGTGAGCCAAGATTGCACCACTTCACTCCAGACTGGGCTACAGAGTGAGACTCCATCTCAAAAACACAAAAACAAAACATAAAACCCCTGGATATCCACAAGAAACAAACACACAAACAAAAAAAGAAACTAGATTGTTAATATATATAAGAATTAACTCAGAGTGAATCAAATATCTCAATTTAATAGCTAAAACCATAAAACTCTGAAAAGATGACATAGGGAGAAATCTTCATGATCTTGGATCTGGTAAATATCTGACAATGGTTTAATACACAGAAAATGTAAACAACTCTTAAAACTCAACAAGAAGCAACCCAACTAAAAGCGGGTGAAGGCAGCATGGGCAACATGGCGAAACCCTGTCTCTATAAAAAACTACAGAAATTAGCCAGGCATGGTGGCATGTGCTGGTAGACCCAACTTCTCAGGAGGCTGAGGCAGGAGGTATTGCTTGAGTCTGTGAGGCGGAGGTTGCGGTGAGCCAAGGTTGCACTAGTGCACTCTAGCCTGGGTGACAGAGTGAGACCATGTCTCAAAAAAAAAAGAAGAGTGGGGTAGGTGAAGGAATTTAATAGCTCTCCAAAGAAGATACACAGGGTAGTCAATAAGCACAGAAAAAATATCCTTGACATCATTATAGGAAAATGCAAATCAAAATCACAATGAGATACCACTTCTTATGCACTAGTATGGCTATTGTTTTTGTTTTTCTTTTTCGAGATGGACCCTTGCTCTGTCGCCCAGGCTGGAGTGCAGTGGCACGATCTAGGCTCACTGCAAGCTCTGCCACCCGGATTCACGCCATTCTCCTGCCTCAGCCTCCCGAGCAGCTTGGACTACAGGCACCCACCACCACGCCCAGCTAATTTTTTGTATTTTTAGTAGAGATGGGGTTTCATCGTGTTAGCGAGCATGGCCTTGATCTCCTGACTTCTTAATCCTCCCACCTCGGCCTCCCAAAGTGCTGGGATTACAGGCGTGAGCTACTGCGCCCGGCCGGCTATTGCTTTTTTAAAAAGGAAAATGACATGTAACCCAATAATGTTATTCCTAGATATATACCCAAGAAATGGGAGAACAGGAACATAAACGTTTATATCGGCATTATTCACAATAGCCAACACGTAGAAGCAACCCAAGTATCTATCAATCGACAAACAAAATGTGGGATATATACAAACAAAAATATACATATAATAGAACACTATTTAGCCACAAAAGGAACAACATTCTGATACATATTACAACATGGAAGAGCCCTGAGGACATGCTAAGTGAAATACAACAGAAACAAAAGGACAAATATCATATAAGAGATACCTAGAACAGGTCGTCATAGAGTCAGAAGGTAGAACAGAGGGCAATGGAGAGTTGTTGCTTAATGGGTACAGAGTTTCTGTTTGGGGTGATGAAAAAATTCTGGAGCTGGATGGGATGGTGATGATTAGATAACAATGTGGCTATTATGTTAACACTTAAAAATGGCAAATTTGATATTATGTATAGTTTACCACAATAAAAAAGACCATCTGAAAACACAATCTATCAACAATCATCATTTAAGAGGTATCTTAAATTTCACCTTTGTTGACAACCACATCTACCAAAAGTAAAAACAGCAGCAAGGATATGTGGTGTGGGAAATGAGACTTAGGCTATGTTCTTCTCTTCTTATCTGCTGCATTCAAAAGTGGGAGGTGGTACAAATACAGAAAGTATACTAGCTGGTGTCTTTAAGTTCCTGATATTGAGGCCTCAAGACTACCGAACCATGTGAGAGTTAGGAACTTTGGATAAGTTGGATTTGTGACAAATTAACACTTAATTGAAAGTTATCCATAATGATCCAGCATATCTGTGTCTTTACTCAATAACAACAGATTTAATTCAGATCCATCTGGTAAAGCAGTGATTCTTTTATTTATTTTTTTGAGACAGAGTCTTGCTCTTGTTGCCTAGACTGGAGTGCAATGGCGCAATCTTGGCCCACTGCAACCTCTGCCTCCTGGGTTCAAGCGATTCTCCTGTCTCAGCCTGCCGAATAGCTGGGATTACAGGCACTCGCCATCACGCCCGGCTACCTTTTTTGTATTTTTAGTAAAGACGGGGTTTCACCATGTTGGCCAGGCTGGTCTTGAAGTCCTGACCTCAGGTAATCCACCCGCCTCAGCCTCCCAAAGTGCTGGGATTACAGGCGTGACCCACCACGCCCTGCTAGCAGTGATTCTTAATTAAGGTGTGTTTCCAAAATCATTTGGGGAGTCTTTTCAATCTATACATTCCAACCTAGACAGAGGTAATAAATCAGAGCACACAGACATCAATAAATCTAGTGCCAAAAGTACAGTGTATTATCTTAAAAATTAGTCAAATTCAAGGCCACTTACTTTTTTTTTTTTTGGAGATAGAGTTTCCCTCTTGTTTCCCAGGCTGGAGTGCAACTGTGCAATCTTGGCTCACTGCAACCTCTCCCTCCTCGGTTCAAGTGATTCTCCTGCCTCAGCCTCCTGAGTAGCTAGGATTACAGGCGCCCGTTACCACGCCTGGCTAATCCACTTAGATTTCTAACAATGTCTGATAAAACAAATTTTAACCCGGCATGGTGGCTCATACCTGTAATCCCAGCACTTTGGGAGGCCAAGGCGGACAGATCACCTGAGGTCAGGAGTTCAATACAAGCCTGGCCAACATGGTGAAACCCCGTCTCTACTTAAAATGCAAAAATTAGTCAGGCGTGGTGACAGGCACCTGTAATCCCAGCTACTTGGGAGGCTGAGGAATGACAGGAGGCCAAGGTTGCAGCGAGCCACTGCATTCCAGCCTGGGGTACAGAGCAAGACTCTGTCTTCAAAACAAAAAACAAAAATAACCCAATTCTAACATTCCAGAAAATGATAAACTGTCTTTTGAGGGTCAGGAAAATAGCTTTTACTTATATTTAACTTTCATGATTCACCAATTCCATGTTCTAATTTTTGTTTCTTAAGTGTGAAATTCTAGTAGTAATAGCTACCAGGAAATAAGGAAGTAGTTTGGAATTTAAATAATAAATAAGTAGAACCAATATAGAATAATTTAAAAGAAAAAGAGAATTACATAGAAACAGAAGTGTTTCTGTGAGGAAGATGTAAACAGTCTTAGTCTCATGATTCTCAATTTAATTAAATGAGAAACTTACCCTGTCATTCATTAGCAGATCTTTCACAATAAAATTTGCTACTACAGATTTCATTGGGGAAGCAAACTGATCTGGTGCTAACATAGAAATGTGGCCCAATGAAACTAATGGAGTTATAAGTTGTTCTGGCACATCAGCATTCAGACTCCTACTGAGTGGCTATAAAAATAAAACAGACAAAATTACCAATGTGTTTGATAAATATCTAGACACTCTACTGAAACAGTACATTTTCCTGAGTCCTCCTGAATTTATCATGCCCAAACCAATCTTCTCTAATATGATCATAACTAACTTCAACCTAAGACACCTGGTACTTAATTCACCTACTAAAATTTAGCAAGATTGAAAGAATGTAGAAAAAACATAAAAAATAAAACTCAAAAGAAGTTAAAAAAAATTTTTGCTTCATGAAATCAGCATTATTTTTGACTAATTTACAACAATGGATTTGCTATATTGGTGGATTTCTTATCCTGTGGGAACATTTTAAATGACCTTAAATCATACAAAGTAAGAGTTCACTGGGCTTTGGTCACACTACCTCCAATTTATGATAATAGGAATACATTTCTAATAGTAAAATGAGGCCAGTCATTATAAGTAAAGAAAGGGAAACAGGATTGTCAGGTAGGGCTCTTAGGTACTTAAAACTGGATTGTTCAAAATTATCTACTAATACTTTCTGAGGATAAATGCACCACTGAACCAATAAGGCTAAAATTAAGTAAAATGTTCTAACATAAACACGTAAGGCCAGGTGTGCTGGCTCATGTGTGTAATTCTCGCACTTTGAAAGCATGAAGTGGGTGGATCGCTTCAGTCTAGGAGTTTGAGACCAGGCTGGGCAACATGGCAAAACCCCATCTCTATAAAAAATCCAAAAATAGCTGGGCATGGTGGCAGTGCCTGTACTCTCAGCTACTTGGGAGGCTGAAGCAGGAGGAATGCTTGAAACTAGGAGTTCGGGGCTGCAGTGAGCAGAGATCGCATCACTGTACTCCAGCACTGGTGAGAAAGTGAAACCTTATCTCAAAAACAAACTAAAAAACAAACAAAAACCACAAAACCCTTCAATATGAGGTGTTTGAACATATAATCTGATCCACAGGCCGGGAATGCAATACCATATAAAATAGACAGAATCCTTGCTCACAAGGAATTTATATTCTAGGGTAGGACTTCATATAAACAGCTTTAAAAAATCTAGCTTCCATCTTCATCAAACTATAGAGCTTAAAAAATAAAGACCAATATAAACACAACCTATATATTAGATATACCTCAAAAATCTGTGCAAGCTGGACTTCTTTATTTGTGAATATGGCGTGTATACAGTGCACAGCCTGTTTTGCTTGGTGTGGAGTACCCCTCTTTGCTTTTTGATGTAAAATGGGAATTAAGGTCCTGCAAAAAATAATATAGTTTTTTTTTTTTTTTTCTTAAACCCATAAACAAACAATTATTCCTTTGGTTGACTTCCACGTCCCCTATATGGATGGATGCTGGTAGAGAAGGCTCTCTTAAAAATTATCTGATCTAAAGAAACTTGTAAAAAAGCTCCCTCTCTGCCCCCAAGTATAAACCAAGAAATACAATGCCTCAAGAAAAAGCCTACTTCAGGAGACAATTTTCATTTTAAAGCTACCTGACAAATATGCAAAATAACAAGTAACCCTTAATTCATAATCTAAAGCTTATCCCATGACATATTTTTACATTTACCTTCTAAGTAGGAGATTGCTAATTTTTCAATTCCCTTTTATAATCCCCTTCAGTTATTTCAAAGTAGCTATGGAAAGAGAGTAGCAAAAGGCCAAGTTGTATTAAGCAGCTGAAATAATACTAGTGAAAGAAAGTATGCAAAGATACAGCTACATATGTATCACTAGGATGGCAATATAAATACCTAACTATTATGTGCCAGGCACCATTCTAGGTATTTCCGCATGGATTAATTCAACTAATGTTCATATCCACCCAAAGACGACCATTATAGTCATTACACAGATGAGAAAATTAAAGCACAAAGATGTTATTTAAGCCTCCTAAGATGACGAAGTTAGGAAACTGGGAGTTGGGATTTGAAAATTAGCACCTCTTTCAAAATCCATACACTTACCCTCTACACTGACAATGAAAAGTAATCTAAAACAGTCTTCTTTCAGGACGAGATGGAAAAACATGTAACACTCTCCAAAAATTAAATGTTGATGACATGAAAAAACATTAGGTAGAATGAAGAAAACAGTGTGCATATATGAACTTTTAAAAAATAGACAAACACATCTAGTAGATGAACATTCATAGAAAGTATACATATCAAATGTTAATGGTGACTATTTCGTTACATCTTTTCTAGTTTCAGTTTGCTACAATGAATATTAAGTATTTTTATAATCAGAAGAAAATTGATAAAGCGAAACAAACATAGAAGGAAAGATATTTGTCATACATTTAATGTTATTAGAGAAGAGCCTGTTTCATAGATTATAAAGTTAGTGGTATCAAATGCAGGGGTGACAATGCCCTCTTATGATAATGGAAGGCTAGATATGAAAAGCTATACTGCAGGCTCCAGGCCATGCACCTTAACCAAAAATGGGAACATATGCTAGTTGGTGTAAGTCTGATGTGACATTTATAAATATGCCTGAAGTTTGTCTCTATGGACTTTGGAATTATGAGATAGGGATGTCCATGCCCAAATAGACTTCCTTGACTGAGTCTTGACCACACTTCTACATGGAAGATGTCTTTCCTCTCTCCTATCTGTTTAGTCTTTCACCATTCCATTTACCAGACTATGATCTCTTATAAAATAACACTGGTGAATGACAAAGGAAGACAGTTTCAATCAAACTGTTGTTAAATGTATTATTAATTATTATTAGCCAAATAAAATAATACAGAAAGTCAACTTTAACCTTTCTTCTTGTTTTTTTATAGAGCAGTATAATCCAGTGATGCCATCAGAGATGTTATTGAGGTCTTTAGTGTTGTGCTTTTCTTCTTTCCAGTGATTATCTCCTTTCTCCTCCATTAATCTTATGAATGAGGTATTTTATTCCTCACGTCCAAAGTTACCTCTTCTACCTATACCCATTTTCAATTGCTTCCTTTGGGGTAGAATTTCTCTAAGAATAGATCCTTTGCCTTAAAATAATGTATAGGATTTCCTCCCTTGAAAAACTTATCAAAATCTATCCTATTGTGTCAATAATCTTTTTTTAATAATGTATACATAAAAAGTTTATTATTTCTAGTCTACAAACTCCTCGAGGGCAGGGACTGATTGTGGTAACTTTTTTTATTAGCCAGACAATGCTGAGAATGAACACATATGATTCAACAGCCATTTGCAATGTATTTTTTCCTCCAGAAGATGTCTTCTGCATATTTTAAGTCTAAATATAACATCTCAGCACAAGTTTCACCTTAACATTTTTAAGATGCCAAAGTGAACTATTTGCCCCATTTTTTGGTAGGATAGCAGTGTGACAGTTATTGAATTTATAACCCATTTACAGAAAAAAAGATGAATATACATGGATTAGAAAGATATTAATCATAAATAAAACACTAAATTATGGGATAACCTTTGATTCTTAATATCTTAAAATGATTTTGTTATAAACAAACATGTAGTTTCAGTTTACTCTGCGGCCTACATTCTAATGGTGGGAGAGGGGTGTAAGGCAAGGGAAAGACAAAACAGAGGAGGACACAGAAAAGTAGCTTTTAAATCAAAATTGTCTTTCCTCCCTCCTAACTTCCTATACAAAAGGAAAACAATGATTTTATGGTTCCCACACTTAGAAACTTTTGTATTTACCATGGGACAAAAAATGTACTCACGATCGTATCTGGGGAAGGTCTGTTTCTATTTTGTGACCTGTATTTCTAAAAATTTGAATAGCAGCTTCTGCCACCTTGTCATCTTCCATTCTTAGGCACTGTAACAAGGACTCATATGTCTCTGCAGAGTGGAACGAGGTAGGATGTGTGAAAGACAGAACCTGAAAAAATAGATACAGCTTTAGAAGTACAGATAATTGTTTAAATCCATTAAAAAAGAAATACTTCCCGTGATAAATAAATAAATAAATACATACATAAATAAATTCTGGGGTAAATATGCTAGCTACACAGAATAGAGATACATCTCCTAGCCACCCTTGCAGTTAGTTATGGCTAATTAGACATTATCAGAAATACTGTGTGGTGTAGTAGCTCCCAGTTATTCCTTCACACAACTGACAGACAGCCTTTGTCCTATTTCTTCTTCACCTCTTAGTCTACTCTGCTACTTAGAACACAAAACTCCTTTTTTATGGAATGTGATTTACAATATTAATAACTATTATCAGTTTATAAATATATTGTATTTAGATGAAGGAATGCTTACTTGAAATAAAACCTCCATACGTAATGACTCAATCTTTGTGTAATGTAAACAAAATGCTAACTCAGAGCTTTCTTTGACTGGCAAAAAGATAATCTATGAGAATTTTTTTTTTCCTTTTCTTTTTTTGTGACAGGATTTCACTCTGTCACCTAGGCTAGAGTGCGGTGGAACATCACAGCTCACTGTGGTCTCAGCCTCCTGAGCTGAGATTACAGGTGCACCAGCCCAGCTAAAAAACAATTTTTTTTTTTTTTGGAGACAGAGTCTCACTCTGTCGCCCAGGCTAGAGTGCAGTGGCCTGATCTCAGCTCACTGCAAGCTCCGCCTCCTGGTTTCACGCCATTCTCCTGCCTCAGCCTCCTGAGTAGCTGGGACTACAGGTGCCCGCCACCATGCCCGGCTTATTTTTTGTACTTTTAATAGAGACGGAGTTTCACCGTGTTTGCCAGGATGGTCTCGATCTCCTGACCCCATGATCTGCCCGCCTCAGCCTCCCAAAGTGCTGGGATTACAGGCGTGAGCCACCGCACCCGGCGTTTTTTTTTTTTTTGTAGAGATGAGGTCTAGCTATGTTGCCCAGGCTGGTCTCCAACTCCTGTGCTCAAGAGATCTTCCTGCCTTGGCTGGGATTACAGGCATAAACCACTGTACCAAGGCAAGAAAATATTTCAAGTGAAATCACTCATCATAATTATCAACAAAGAAGCCACTATTGTGAACTTTTAATTATGATTACAATACATAATTATTCCCTTATTATGACATGAGCACGAGCCTGTTCTTAAATAATTTTTAGCAAGTTAGATACATATCTAAAGAGTTAACCTTCCATACAATTTATAACAATTCAGTTAGTGTAGTATCAAGATTAGGGAGGCAAATAGAGAAGCAGGGAGAAAGGGGAATGAGCAGGTGGTCTTCATTAATTTTTCAATAAGCACTTATTTAATGGTCATTAAGTGCTACTGTCTCATTTGGCAAGGTTTGCAGTGATAATATTTACTTATGTGGTTTTGATTATTTACAGAAAACTGGAGAATTAAATTAGAAAAATGTAATAAAAACCAATCTATTAAAAAATGTTACCTTAAAGGTGGTTTCACTTTTAAGAGAACTTAAAAATACAACTCAATTACTAAAAAAATTAATTAAAATCTTATTCAGGAGGCATTATATCAATTCTATCAATGAAATGATTTTTTTTTTCTTTTGAGACAGAGTCTCACTCTGACGCCAAGCTGGAGTGCAGTGGCACGATCTCGGCTCACTGAAACCTCCATCTCCCGGGTTCAAGCGATTTTCCTGCCTCAGCCTCCGAAGTAGCTGTGACTACAGGCGTGTGCCACCATGTCTAGCTAATTTTTGTACTTTATTAGCAGAGACAGGGTTTCCCCATGTTGGTCAGGATGGTCTTGACGTCGTGATCTGCCCGCCTCGGCCTCCCAAAGTGCTGGAATTACAGGCATTGAGCCCAGCTCAATGAAATTACATTTAAGAACCTCGGAATACGAGCCCATAATTCTTTTTCTATGTAACATCCATTTCACTGGTTTGTCTCTTCTCCTGTAAGTCACAGTGGTATCACGTCTCTTTGCCTTCAATTTCTTCCCTTCTTTTACTCAATCCAATGAAAGTTCTATCAAGGGCTGCAGCTGGTTGTAAGCCAGGTTAAAAGCTCGTGACAGTACCTTTCTTACCCAGTGGCACTCGACAATCTGGAACCACCTTGTCTCCCATTATTCCTCAAAACACCCCTTTTTTCTATTCATGCCAGTCTCCCAAGAATCCCACAAATATACCAAGAAATATTCCCTTTAATGATGATATTCCCTCCCCTAGATTTAGTCACATACCCTGTCCACTAAGTCTTAAGTCACACCTTGCTATTACTAAGAATAGATTGTTCAGTAATCACTACCAAGCATAGAAGGCATGAAAATGATAAACAGTGAAACAAATATTAATTTATAATGTAAAATAATTACATTATTATATTATAACATAAAAATATTACTTTTACATAATCTGATTTCCAACACAGGTTTTAAATCTTTCAAATAGTTTCCTATGAAATAAGCCTGACTCTTGCATATCCTGAAGGGAAGGCAAATTATGACCCCACAGAAATACATGGCAACAAAACTGTTTCAAAAATACCTTAAGAAGTTCAAGTCCTGAACGGATAGCTGTATCTGGACTTACACCCTCCTCTTCATCATCTGCTGTCCCCTCTATTGACTTATTCATCAATTTCACTAGTGCACTATAAAAAGAAGAAAATATAAATCAGTAACCACTAGAGTAGTAACTATATCCTAATCACACTGTGACTGAACATATATAGAACCTTAAAATATTAAATTCAAAGGAGTTTCTGTGAGGGAAAAAAGTTCAACCTTGTCATCTACTTGATAACTAAACTTCTACTTAGTTTATCCCCCTAAAAACCTTAATGTATTAAGAGTAACTCTTCTAAAAAATAACAAAACTAAAATTAAATGACACAACACACTGGTAATATATTCACATAAGTAATTTAATATTCATTTCCATATATACACAGATCATTTTCAGTTTTAAGAAAAACAATAATATAGTAGTTAAGTGGGCAATGACAATTGACTCAAAAAAATACAAATAATAAACATATACATGGAGAAATGAATTAATTGCTGGTAATTTACTGAATCAGTAACTATTTCTATAAACTTATAGCAAAGAAGCAAGTCATCAGAAGCATCATGCCATATTTATAAAGATTCATTAATTAGAAACAATTTAATTGTCAAAAATTAGGGAGTTAGTTTTTTCAAAATACCACCAGGAAATAGAATATTATCTGGTCAATAAAAATCAGATGTAGCAACATGGTACTATTTTAAGTAAAAACAAATGTGATTTCTGGTTTTGAGATCAGTAAACTGAAGAAGATATTACCCTATTATGAGAACATTCAATTATTATTACAAATGTTCAAAACAAGATTTTGGTTAATTCTTTTTCCTTTGGTGTTATGTATAGGTCAAATTATTCATTTTTTAAAAGTACCAAATATGTATAGGATACAGATGAAATTATTTTCACTTATAAAAAATTAACAAAAATTATAAATATTCATGGGGTACAGAGTGATGTTTCCAGACATATAATGCATGGTGATAAGGTCAGGATAATTTGCATATCCATTATCTTAAACACTTATCATTTCTTTGTGTTGGGAACATTCAATATTGTCCTAGCTATCTGAAACTATGTTATTATTAACTATAGTCAGCCTACTATGCTATGGAACACTAGAATTCATCCACCCATCTAGCTGTAATTTTATATCCTTTTCTGTAATTTTGTATCTCCCTCTAATCCTCCCTTCCCACTACCTTTTCCAGCCTTTTGTTTCCTGTTCTATTTTTTGCTTCTGAGAGATCTACTTTTTTTTTTTAGCTTCCACCTACCAGTGAGAACATGTGGTATTTAACTTCCTGGTCCTGGCTCATTTCACTTAACATAATGTCCTCCAATGCCATCCACATTGCTGCAAATGACAGCATTTCATTCCTTTTTTATGGCTGAATAGTATTCCATTTATCTATGTACCATATTTTCTTTACCCATTCATTCCTTGGTGGACACAGGGTAATTCCAAATCTTGGCTATTGTCAATAATGCTGCAATAATAATGGGTGTACGGATATCCTTTTGATAAACTTATTTTATTTATTTTGGATGTATACCTAGTAGTGGGATTGCTGGACCATATGGTAGTTGTATTTCTTAGTTTTTTTGAGGATCCTCCACTGTTCTCCATAATGACTGTTTAAACTAAGTTTAGCACATCCTTTCCTTTCTCCTCTTACATCACAACAATTATTTTAAAATTCATTATCTTCAGTTAATCTGATAACATTAAAAAAAACTAAATTGGTGTATATGTGTATAAACATTAACTTAATGTATAATATACCACACAATTCACTGAATTAAAATGTACAACTTAATGGTTTTTACTATATTCACAGGGATGTACTACCTAATTATAGAACATCTCATCACTATCCTAAGTCAAACCCCTTACCTGTTAGCAGGAACTCATTCACCATTAGTCCCTCCAGCCCTAGGCATTTACCAATCTATTTTCTCTCCTATACACTTGCCTATTCTGAACATTTCATATTAATGAAATCATACAATTTGATAGGGTTTGGCTGTGTCCCCACTCAAATCTCACTTTTAACTGTAATAAGCCCCACATGCCAAGGACAGGGCCAGATAATTGAACATGGGGGCAGTTTCCTCTATATTGTTCTTGTGGTACTGAATAAATCTCATGAGATCTGATGGTTTTATAAAGGGGAGTTCCCCTGCACAAACTCTCTTGCCTGTCACCATGTAAGATATCCCTTTGCTCTTGCTTCGTCTTCTGTCATGATTGTGAGGCCTCCCCAACCATGTGGAACTGCAAGTTCATTAAAACCTCTTTCCTTTATAAATTACCCAGTCTCGGGTATGGCTTTATCAGTAGCATGAGAACAGACTAACAAACAACTGTTACCCTTTGTGACTGACTCCTCTCAATTAGCATAATGTTCTCGACATTCATCTACACTGTAGCATGAATCAAGTGTAGCATCATTTAAATAAATTTCCAAATAATATTCCAGTATACGTAATTAAGATTCTTTTTTTTTTTCCCCCTTGAGACAGAGTCTTGCTCTGTCGCCCAGGCTAAAGTACAGTGGCATGATCTCGGCTCACTGCAACCTCTGCCTCCCAGGTTCAAGTGATTCTCCCGCCTCAGCCTCCCGAGTAGCTGGGATTACAGGTGCCCACCACCATACCCAGCTAATTTTTGTATCTTTAGTAGAGACGGGGTTTTGCCAAGTTGGCCAGCCTGATCTCGAACTCCTGACCTCAGGTGACTCGCCTGCTTTGGCCTCCCAAAGTTCTGGGATTACAGGCATGAGCCCCTGCGCCCGGCCAAAATTTATTTATCCATTCATCAGCTGATGGACATTTAGGTTAATTCCATTTTTGGGGGATATTATTAATAATGTTGCTACAAACATTTATGTACAGGTTTTGCATAAACATGTTTTTATTTTTCTTGAGTCTACACTTGAGTGGAACAACTAGGTCATATGGTTAACTCCATGTTTAACTTTCTGAGGAACTACCAAACTGTCTTCCAATGCAGTGTCACCATTTCATATTCCCACCAGGAACATGACAGGTTCCAGTTCTTCCACATCCTCACCAACATGTCTGTCTTTTTACTTATAGCCATCTCAGTGGATGTGAAGTGGTATCTCTTTGTGGGGAGATATATATATATATAAAAAACATTCTCACCTCCACAAAATATTGCTCTAAACCTCTTCTGTGGTCAATTCCCTACCCTCACCCTGGCAACCACTGGTTTGGTTTCTGTCGCTATAGTTTTGACTTTTCTAGAACTTCATGTATGTAGTGTCTGACATCTTCCATGTGACATAATGCTAATACTTTAGAGATTTATCCAACTTGTTGCATATAATCAGTAGTTTACTCCTTACTATTGCTGAGTATTCCATCATAATGAATATCCAATTACCCACTGATGAACTTCTGGGTATTTGTGATTTATAGGTATTACGAACACAGCTGCTAAAAGCAGTTAAACACAAGGGAATGTATGTTTTCTTTCCTCTTAGACAAATATCTAGTATTAGGATTCCTGGGTTGGATGGTAATGTTGTATGTACATTTAATGTAACAAGAAACTATTTTCCAATTCACCAACAATTAGTATGGTTAAAATCTTTAATTCTAAATATTCTAGTGAGTGTGTAAGTGGCATTTCTCATTATAATTTGAATTCTGACTGGGCGCAGTGGCTCACACCTATAATCCCAGCATTTTGGGAGGCTGAGTAGGGTAGGTCACTTGAGCCCAGATCAGCCTGGGCAACTTGGCAAAACCCGTCTCTACAAAAAATACAAAAATGAGCCAGGTGTGGTGGTACACCCCTGTAGTCCCAGCTACTCAGCAGGCTGAGGTGGGAGGATTGCTTGAGCCCAGAAGGTCAAGACTGCAGTGAGCCATGATTGCATCACTGCACTCCAACCTGGGAGACAGAGCAAGACCCTGTGTCAAAATAAATACATAAAAATAGGCCAGCACGTTGGCTCATGCCAATAGTAATAGCACTTTGAAAAGGCTGAGGAGGGAGGACCGCTTGAGACCAGCCTGGACAACGTAACAAAACCCCATCTCTACCAAAAAAATAAACAACAAAAATAAAAATAAGTTAGCCAGGCGTGGTGGTGTGTGTCTGTAGTCACAGCTACTTGAGGTAGGAGGATGGTTTGAGCTCAGAAGGAGGAGGGTGCAGTGGGCTGAGATCATGCCACAGCACTCCAGTCTGGGTGACAGAGTCAGACTCTGTCTCAAAAAATAAAATAAAATAAAATTGTAAAAATCTGAATTTGCATTTCCCAAATGAGTACTAATACTAACTGTCCTTTCTTGTGCTTATTTACCATCTTATCTAGTATCTGTTCAAATTTGCCCATTTTAAAACAAAGTCATTTGTCTTATCGAGTAGTCAGAGTTCCTTATATAGCCTGGATATAATACTTTACCAAATACATACTTTTCAAGTATTTTCTCCTGGTCTGTGGCTATTATGTGCCCTCTAAGAATCTTTGCCTACCCTATATGTTTTCTGGAAATTCTAGCTCTGACATTGTATTCTAAAGATTTATTCAATTTGAGAAAATTATTCTAGATTGAGCTTTTTATTAAGAAATCCTAGTAAACATTGCTTGAATTTAACAAAACTACAAGTGTGTTTCAAAAAAATTCATAAATATGTGAATACCTATGATAGGTTCCATGCATGATTATTTAATGAGTATTTATTAACTACCTGTCATGTGCCAAGTCTTAAGGTCTCCCTGAGAAATACAGTGTGAAATGAGAGACATAATCTCTGCTATCATTGTAATATTGGTAATCACCAGTATAAGTCAAGGAGCTATAAGTGAAAGACCAAAGTCTTCAAACCAGGTTCACCGTCCTTCCTCTTCTAAAATATTTTTTCTCTTTTGTAAATTAGATAAATAATATATACTTCACAGGGCTATCAAGATGCAAAAGATGATCACCAATCCAACTGCCTCTTCAAAACTGCTAGGGAAGTCTACGCTATACAACCACTGTTACAAATCTTCACCATTCTAACCGAAGTCTAAATACTCCCACTGAGCAACTTCATCTTGAACAGAA